AACTGTGTGGGGGGAGGGCTCGAATCCCGTATCGAGTCTCGGCGCCGACTCCTCGGTGAGGCCAAGATGGTCGTCGTCGGAATCCTCGGGGAGGCGATCCCATACCGCGTTGGTGTCCAGTCCGAGCCTGGCTGTTCTTCACCTTTCTACCTACCTACCTCGCGGGAGAAGAAAGGCGCGCTCTGCACTGTGACCCCCGTGTGTTGTACCCGAAAAAAAGAAAGAACTTCCCCGTGCGGGAAGCCGAAACGACCGTTCCACTCTCTCGGCCGACTCGTCGAGCAGGCGATGGCCGGCTCGTCAAGCATGAAGATGCTCACGCTCCGGCCGCTCCACCCGCCAGGCGCCGAGGCGCTTGTGGGCCTTGCTTGCCTGCTGGCGGTGTCGCTCCACGAGCGCTTCAAGGCGGTCTGGCGGCAGAGCTGGTATCCTGAGAGGGACGGGAGCACATGGGTCACCGCGCGCACCCAGTGCTCCGAGTCCGACGGCGCCCTCTACGACGCGCACATCCGGGCGGTGAAGCTGCAGGCCAAGACCACAGGCAAGGCGGAGGTGGACCTGTTTCACAACTTGTGCTGGGGGCACGGGAAGGTGGCCCTCGGCAGGTATCCGCCCGAGCTTGACGGCGCGGATGCCGCGAATCTCGCGTTTCTGCTTTTCGCCGACGCCGAGAGGGGACGAACGGGCCGCCCAAGGGGAATGCAGAGAGCGGCGCTCCGTAGTGCGGGCCGGCGCGGCGCCGCGGCGGCGCGTCGCGGCACTGCGAGGCGACCGCTGTCGACCAAGACCGCGCCGCACCCCTTCGAATCCTTCCTCTCGGGCACCTCCTCCAACTACGTCGAGGAGATGTACGCCGCATACAAGGCGTCCCCGGAGTCGGTGCACGTGTCGTGGCGGTCCGTGTTTGCGGCGATGGACAAGGGCGTCCCTGCGGGCGCCATCTTCACGCCTCCTCCCACCATCAACGCCGGCGCAACCCTAACGTCTGCGGCCGTCGCTCCCGCGGACGCTGCTGCAGCGCAGGACCACGTCAAGGTGATGCAGCTGGTGCAGGCCTTCCAGAGCCGCGGGCACAACATCTGCGACCTGGATCCGCTCGGCATGTACGACGCCGACCTCGACGGCTCGATGCCGCCCGAGCTCGAGCTGTCGAGCTACGGCTTCACCGAGGCTGACCTTGACAAAGA